TTCGTGATTAAATAGTTCTGGTTAAATCTACTTCACGAAAAGCATCAGTAGCAGCCTGAAGATGTTTATCAACAGCTACCTTCGATAGATCAACACTGAAGATCATATGGCCAACCAAAAAAGATTAGCACCAACGAATCAACCATGAACTTACCTCTCAACAAATATTCCGAAGAAAATGAAGATTGATTAGACAGACGCTATAGCAAACTCTTAACTGACTTTATGTGCCAGACAGGCCCTTGGGTGGAGCCCGAAAGCAAAACGACGAAGGTGACATTGAGCAAGCTGTGTGATGAAGAAACAAAAGCTGATGGACAGTCAGTCACTGAGCCAGCCGAAAAGGACTGCAGAAAACCGGATGAAATGGAGATATGGTGTGGTGAGAGCTGGCTGTTAGCCGAAATTGGACAGTGATTTACGTCAATGTTTATGTCCCAAATATTGTTCGTGAGAAAAATGAGAACACAGGCTTTGTGTAGGCGGATACAGTTATTATATGGAAGATCTGACATTCAAGAAACAGTCACAAAGAGATGCAAGGTTGACTTTTTTGGGAAACAACCAATCAGAGGACTGTGTTTTTCTGCTGACAATAGTCTATAAAATGTACATGAAAATTTATAAATATGTGTTGATTTCGTTAATAAACTATCTGTCGCCTGGCCCTTGTTTTCTGTTGTTACAATGGTGTAGAGGCCACTGTTCAACTTCGAACCCAAGGTAATAATATTAATAAAAAAAGCTATTAGGACTGAATAACAAAACTCCAGGAAAATATCAATATCGTTTTGCTATTTATTCATTATGACATACAAAATATATTCTATGATAATGATTATTACATATCCAGTACCCGAATGCTTTCATACCGTTAATTCTGAACTTGGTTTAGACGTGAACAATTGAAATGTTTACAAATTCCAAAGAGATCAAAGAGGAATTTCTCAGTTTATTTCAGGTAGCGAAAATACCAAATACCCTTAACTCGACTTATGCAGCAGAGATAGTTAGTTTCAGCGTCTTACACTGTGGGAAACTCTTAACTTTCGATGTGTCCATTGCTTATGGTTTCCATGTAAGAAAGCTAATTCATAAAACAGCCATCTGGATTGCAGATGTATTAGCAGTACTTTCCATAACTCAGTATAAGCCGACGGGTCGATCAGCGTTTTGAACAGAGCTTTCAAATATCCTGCTTAGTCACAGGAAGACTTCGTACCAACGCAATTTCATGTATGTGATGGGCATTCAACCTGACGTACTTTGCCGGAATCATTTTATTCTAATTTGAGACAAAAAATATGCTGATTTTTTGCGTCTAGTTGTTCATTTAACTATAAGCCTAATAAAAATGTAAAACTGAGAACAGCTTCTAGTAAAACTCTGTTGACAAACATGGATATAGTATTATTCCTTTGATGATTTATCTATTATTATTATTATTGTATCCTTTAGTTCCTAGAGGAACATAGGGCTTCAGCTGCGCGTCTCCATTGCCTTCGGTTTCCTGACAACTTTTTCACCCTGCTCCAGGTCTATCCACATGCTTTCATCTCCTCCCTACATGACCTCCTCCAAGTCACCCTTGGACGACCAACTCGCCGCCTCCCTTTCGGGTTCCACTCGAGCAATGGCTTGTCTAGTGATGTCACTTGATGGTTTCCTCAGCGTATGGCCAATCCATCTCCATTTCTTTCTGCCTATTTGTTTCACAATCGGTTCCTGATTGGTTCGCTCCCAGAGATCCCTGTTGCTGATCTTTTCTAGCCATCTGATCTTGAGTATTGAGCGGAGACAGCTGTTAATGAAGGTTTGATGATGATTTATCTGCCTCACCTTTATTTCTCACACACACCCCTCCCGATGTTGGATTTTAGACCTATGAATCATGGAGTGAAACTGGCTATTAGCACGTCATCTACAAACATTTTAGAGGCCCTGGAGCTAATTTCAAAGTGAAAACTGTGAACATCCCTACACCACCGAAGTAACTGCAACCAAGAATCTGATGAACAGATCCAAACATCTAGTTACTGAGGAGGAAGAGATCATCAGGGAACTAAAATTGGTTTAGTTCACTCTTGAATCAAATAATTATCCCAAAACCTTCAAAAAAATTTGAAATGTGAAGATAAGGATGAATCGAAACCTGCTGCTAAGAATTCGTTTAGCACGGTAGCTATTTCTGAGTGTAAAGAAAAATCGAATGAGATAAAGAGAATCCTTAACAATCATGACATAACGGACACCATGCAACGGACACCATATAATCATCACTTGTGAAAGTTAAGGATAACATAGAAGAAGATAACCAACAGAACTGTGTGTACCAGATAAATTGTGGGGGTCAGGACGCCATATATGTCACAGAATCTTACAGAGAGGTAAATAGCATAATTAATGTCTAAAGTTGGTCCCAAAGACCTCTACAGATTTGAAGAAGCTACAAAATAGCTCAGCGATTGCACTGCACTCGATAGAAACAGGACTCAAGATCTACTTTGCTGAGACTAAGGTTCTACAGAAAGGTTTTGCTTCGTATAAGGAAAGACTGATTGCCATGGCCCTTCATATATGAGTGAATCCCAAAATCTTGAACAGACGTGAAGGTGTGATGTTAGCTGATGCATTGCAAGTTCTGATTAATAAATTAAAATGGATATGTATCACTAATCAACCATACTTGATCTAAATTCCCGATTGCCTATATATTCTTATGCAGAGGATAACAAATGATTTACAATTGTTGCAGCATACACACACACACACCATTGTATACCGCATTTACATATTTATTTTCCAGATTCACTTATCTATGACCATGAACTTTTAGTCGAATGTAATCACAACAGATCTGCTGAAACAGTACACACTGTATACAGTGTATAACAAAAGCAGAATAATATTTGCAATTCAGGTCAAATTTTGATCACAGTTCAGGCACTTTTGTTTATTATATTTTGATGTCTGTATCATGACCAATATGATGGGAGAGAGTTTTTTATAAAACAAAGGATTTCCCTTTTTATGGTACTTTCGATTAATCTCTCTGAAGAAATTCGAACTAGTTCACCTTACGAAACGTTGGGATTAATCGTTTCATTTTCTCTGGGATTTTACAAAAATAATTTTTACATATATCAGGCCGAAAAATTGATTTTGACAATACTGAAATAATTCAGAAAAAAAACCGCTATACCACCGACACACACTCTAATTTATCATGCCTAATCTATATTCCCGATTGTTTATATCTTTATATGAAAAGGTTAACAAATGTTACATAACTGTTATCCCACCACGCATGCGCACAGCTGTATGTCGCTTACATATATTTTTTATATTTAGTTACCCATGAACGTTAACTTAAGTTGAACCTGATTACATAAGTCTGATACAAAAGTACACGCTGTTTACAGTGTATAATAAAAATAGATCATTAATTACGAGTTTATGGTCATATTTTGATGGCAGTTTAATGCAATTTTGAAGAATAGGATCGGACAAGGATTTTAAAGTCAAGATATGTCCTTTCATAAATATACTTTTGTTATTTTAATTTCGATTAATTTCCCTAAAGAATTTCGAACCTGTTTACCGAACGAAATGGTGGTATTGTTTATTTCAGTTTCGCTGAAATTTTACAAATATAATTGTTACATGTCGATTGCTTGTTCAGCAACCAATTAGTGCGGAACCAATGGGTTAAATCTTCATCACAGTTCATATAACACATATGTTCTTATCTGTGTAAATATCTTTTTTTGTATAACAGACAAATTTATCACGTTGTGGTTCAATATAACTTGGCATGAGACTGTTCAGCGGACTGAACACATAGCGAAACAGTATTATTTACTGGATTATACCTGAAACGCATGTTACTCATAACTGTATGTTCATAACTCTGCCATTTTGAAACTTGGTTTTTGTATGGAATTTCTCAAATATCCGGGAAAGGTTTCGAATCATTCCTGTTGCACATACTCTCAGTAAATTCATGAAACAAAGCTTGTGTTATCATTCTTTCTCTACCTTGGTAACCTTTAATTTCAGGATTATTTCTGTCGTATGTTTGAGCGCGACGGCATGTAGTGCTACACATAACTGAACAATTTTCTAGAATTCATACCCTGGTAGAGCCTAAAAATCTAGAAAGAATATCGTAGTTGTATCCATTCTGTAACATTTGTGTGACGTAGGCAACTGATATAGTTTCCTCCAACCACATGACTCCTATCTTGTTGAAAATAACTCACTTTCTTTTCCCTTCACATTAGGCGCTACGTCAATGACTAACAGTTCAACGTTCTGATTTGAGTAAATACTTAATGCTTTAGAAATGATGAGGTGAGTAGGAGAAGTGAAGAAAGAAGACTATACTTCTGGAATCTTCAGGGGTAGTGAAACACACTTCACTTCAGAATGATTTCAATGGTGTTGTTTTGTTAAGTAAGCAACACCTCAGTCGTTGTATAGTCACTCTAAGAAATGTTCAGTTATCTATACAAACGCTATATGTTATGTTGAAAAATTGTTGAGTGGCTTTTATTGTTGACATTATCTAGAAAAGATATTCATGAAGCCTTTAAAAGTCAAAATGCATCTGACTAGTTGTGCCATACATTTTTGAAGACTTTCACACTAACTATTCACACTTCTAATCATCAGGTACACATCCGTCATTAGCTCAGAATTTAAGAATCCATCATTTCTAACTTGTGTCATAATGTCATGAAGCAGGCTTTAATGTCTTACAATGAGAATTATTTTGAGAAGATTGATCAAACGACAACAGTAGCATGTTACACTTCTTATGCTGCTCTTTTTCACTATAGAAACTAGGTGTTTTCATGACATTATTTCAATCTTTTTTTTCACTTCTCACAGCTTCTCCACAGGTAAACAAAAACAATCTCAAGGACTTGTGACAATAGAGTAAATATAAATATATATATTCTATGTAAGATGTTTATTAAACAACATTTTTATAAATCCATTTTTATTGAGCAGTTCAATAAAGCATTAATTCAGTGAACAACATAGCCAGTAATGCTGATAATCACACCAATAGCAATACTAATCAAAATAACCATTGGACACGATAAAATATTAGACAGAATTTAATGTCACCATATGATATTATCAATATTAGTTGTTATGACTGGAATTTTTGTCAGCAATGTCAACAACTCTAACGTCATCTTCATTGCCAATAGTGTCATTATCACCATCAGCTTTTTTTCTTTCATTGGTGTACAGTAACACTTCATCTAATATATCCTCTAAGTAGACTGATACATTATCTGTTAAATTATCCAAAAAGGCTTGAGATAATTCTTGTGCAGAGATTTCACTAAGTTTTGAATTTTGTCGACTAATTGGCTCAGTAAAATTAGCAATTGAAGCCTGAATAGAAATAAATGAAAGAATATTACTTATATATATATATATATATATTACCAAAGTTCTAAAATTATTCGTCATACAACACTAGTATTTTGACGATAGATAGAAACGATAGATGAAAAACTAAAACAAAAAATATTACTCTGTCTATTTCTGTATCCGATATGACGTTTGATTTATTTTTTATTTATTTCATTTTATTTTTTGATTACAGCTTCATTCCACACAGTATTTTTGGTACAAGTATGGAATTTTTAGCATGTGATATCAGTAGCCCAAATTTCGCAGGTCGACCATAGATATCAAGCGTGCGTCTGCAGGGAATCGAACCTCGGACAATTCGCATACTCGGCGAGAGCCCTAACCACTGTACCGCTGACGCACATACCTGAATGCATTAAATGGTGGCAGGTTCAAACCTTTGAGCTACCTGAATTTACATCCAGAAAAATGAATGAAAATTCCGATAAAGAAATAAAGACCAGATTTGTAGTATAAAATAATATCATCATTCTATTTCACAGGTTCTCATCATCTGCAGGCTACCTGAAGTTACAATGGTTTTATAGATGATAATAAAATACTTCGATGTTTAAAAGGTAGTAGAAAAGAAACATCCAAAATGTAAACACTATAATTTTTAGTTTAAGTTTTCATCATCAATTTATACGCTTTTAAAGTGGGAAAGAGGAGAAAGGGATAAGACAGAAAAGAAAGAAAGAATCAACAAAACATTGTTAGCTTGTAGGTTCACACAGCAACTCAAAAGCCATGGGCAGTTACAGTTTATAAGAGTGCGATTCGCTTAGTGAGTTGAGATCACTGAATCAAAGACTAATTAATGTGATCAAAATTAGAATTCAGTTACCAAGGTAGTGAGAGATTAATCACACTCACTTTCTGTATGCATAAGTCTGGTTTGAATCATTTGGTTGGAATGGCTTCAGGAAAATCGTAGTAAATTTGCTGTTCTTTGTTTATTTAATATTTTGAAGGACTTAGAAATCTCTACGAGATGACCAGTATCAACAATATGTCTGGTAATCGCACTCTAAGAACATTTGCTTCCTTTTAGGTACAGATTTCGTGGAATGCGCTTAGAAAACCGGATAGAAGCCCTTCATTTTGTCCTTCCAAGGTACTCGCTCCCGCAAGTGCACGTACATTCATAAATGCAGTTGGAGGTGACATCAACAGGGTATTTATGCAGTTTTGATTGGCTTACAGAAGAAGTAGTTCTGTATAGTGTTATGAGTTTACCTGCAGGAAAGCTTCTTTTTATTGCACATTTCATTCTTTTTTCAATCTTTTGTGAGACTGCATCTTCTTTGAATGAGAGACAAATAAACGCTTTCTTGTCTTCCACAGTTGGGCGTTTTTCTTTCATATCTTTTTCTCTGCTATACTTTTGTATAAATCTCTTTAGGTATCCACTTTCTCTTAGGCATTTCTCAATGAAACCTAATTCTTCCTCCAAGTTGTTCGGTGAACATAGGTTCCTGGCGCTGTTGTAGGTAGTCTGCAGCTGATGAGAACCTGTGAAATGGAATGATATCATTTTATACTGCAAATCTAGTCTTTCTTTCTCTATCGAAATTTGTCAAGGGAACCAGATGAATCAGAATTCCCTCAATTCTCACTGTTCAGATTTTCCGATGACATCCTTAGGCAGCAATATATACCGGCGAACATTTTAAAATCGCTTTGCTCTTCGAAAGAATATGACAGAAACGTATTGTAGAGGGTTGAATCTTATTTCAATATCGTATGCCGTCGCATCATACAATATACTGTCCACTACACTTTACTTGAAGTTTCTATGTTCAGAGGAAGTATTTTGCGGGAAATACTCTGAGAATCCTTTATTGTGCATGAACATATTGTTGAGAATAGAGCTATAATTAATACCATTATTATTATTACTAAGATTAGACAAACTTCACTATTTTTCAGGTATTGGTTGTACTGAAGAGTCCCAAACTAGGACGAAACTGCTGTGCAGTACTCCCAACTTTTCCAGTGCTTCTCTAACTGATGTCAGCTCATGATGAAATCTTCCATCCAATCAAGCTTCACTGTTATCAGAGATGTATACCCGCTGATTTCGAAACTCATTGTTAACCAAGGTGATCAACGAGTGTTAGCTATCGAAAAGTTAATTCGTCTATGAATACTTGTTTTAACTTTCACCAGTTCGCGGAAGTACATTAAATCAGTAAGAAGTGAAATGACAGCCTCTGTTTTCTTAAAACAGACACCCAAGTTAGTAGTAATTGATAAGCAAATGTTTTGACATTTTAATGATTCCTTACCACTGAAGGGCACTTATATATTCACCAGACAAAAGTCAACATCCTGATTTAGCCAATAACCGTTGTTGTAGTAATTTTTCATAACAAAATGATATATATCCATATAATACGTGTGTTTGTTTGACAATCTGTATATTTGCTATGTATATATGGATCGATATTCCATTATAATTAGCCATTCATGTTAAGACTGTCTATTGATTTGTTCATTTTGAATATTCGCTCACACACTTGTGTTTACACACTTGTTCGGACATTCATATATTTTTGCTCTCACACTCTTGTGTGACATTTTGATTCTCCTGGTGTTTTGGAAAATAGAAGTATCATCGCAAACCTAGTGGTCTTCTGATTTCCGTCTTTCTTGCGTCAGGACTATTAAATTCTCGACCAGTACATAACAATAATTTGGCGACGAGTACATAATACATAAACAATCTAAAGACGAGCACAAAGTCTACCATTTCGCTCGAGTTCTCTACTTATATGCTTATTAGACAGTAGTTTGCAAGTAACATTTTTTTATTTCATAAACACTTTGTTAAAGAAATAATATTTTCCAGTGGAATGCAAAATGTAAAAATGGATTTCTGAATGGATTTTTCCACGGGAAACGCACCCATATTTCAAATCTCACTGATTTTTATATCTGAGTGCCTACCCTTGGAGACAGAGATGCCTAAATCCATTTTCTCCGCTGTAAGGTAAGAAAAATATATATTTTAGACTGCGTTGAGAGAGTCATGCCTAGTAAAAGAGGTTACCTCAACAGTTGCATTCATGCAAACACAGTGGCGAAACATTACAAACTCCTCACAAACTCACTTCAGAAGGAAATCATTTTTGAGAATCTGAAATTTAATAACGATCAGGCTTCAAATGTTGCCAGTAAAACTACAGTTCATCTTAACTAGCCGGAGCCTTTTATCCATTTACTTGAAGGATGACTTCATCAATCTAAATATCTCTATATAACTTTACTGGTACATGCCCTCTTCTTCAGTAAGACAGATCGGTCGTAGCTTTTCACGGGGATAAAAGACCATTATCTGAAATTATTTTTCAGGGGAATGGAAAGTTATGAGAAATTTACTCTAGAACTGTCGACTAACTTCCGTAGCTAAGGCTATTTACTGAATTGACAGAAACCTCCTAATTTCTCTTCATTTTCAACTTCTTCAAATCCTAAAGGTGTCGAATGCCTATAAACCACAAGCGGATTTTCGGTGGCAAAGGAAGTATTTCAGTCTCTCATTTTTGCATTAACCTCTAAAACTCACTGTGTATAATTCCACTTTATTTCACTGAGGTTTCTCTTTATTTTCATAGTTGGAACCTTCATTTAGGAATAACATCTCATTTTTCTTGTCGTCATAGTTATGTGAATGGTGGTACAGTTACCATACCAGTATTTATATGTTAACCAGTGATGAAGTATGGATAGTACTAATTCTATATCTTAAAGACTGGTTTAGCTAATTTAATTAGGGAAATCTCTGACTTTACTACTGAACGCAACTTAATATCTGTCAAAATGTTTATCAAAAACTCCATTAATTTAAAATTACTTTTAACACTAGCTATGTCTAGTTTTGCTTCTTTTTCTTTTCCTATGCCCTGTGGATTTTAAATGTCTTCTTTGGCTTTGGAACGAATTAAACTTAATAAAATTTAGAAAAAATGGTATTAGTGAGCTAAAAGTAGATGCTCTTCATCTCACTAGATAGCCCTCATAGCGTAAGATTCGGTGATGGATTTATGTGTATATGTGGGTGTGTGTTGGTGTGATTTTGTAGGAATATATTCTTACTGTTAATGTAGATACTTAAGATAGTATTCACTGTATGACCGGTAACAACGTCAGGCCTCTTGACGTCATAAATACGGAAGGAGAAGCGCATCAATACATACGATTCAATTAGTATGTTTATCATACCTACAGAAATAATGGAACTAATTTTTAGTATCAGTCAGCTTAGGGTAATGAACTGAAATTCACTCCCCGACAAGATTAAGTTATTAATTTTAAACTTTATCAAATCTGCCATTTGCCATTTACACAGAATGAAGTGAGATTTCACCAGTCTTCTCAAGAAGTCGAAGTTATTACTAATATCTCCTTGACAAAATAAATGGGAATCCTAAAGAAACTGTGGTAAAGTTCCACCTGGAACAGTTAAAATTACACATCAAGAATTCGATTCAATGCAATAACAGTTTATCAATGTAGCTAACCACATGTCGGATGGCTGTAACTGATTCGAATCTCTAGGCTGAGTAAAGCTAATACATCTCTGACCAGCTAGACCATCAAAAACCAGTGAAATGGCAGTCTGTTGATAAAATTACTTTGATCAGGCTAGTAAGCTCTCCCAGTAGATGTGACTGGTATCGTCGCAAAAATCAAACTATGGTTTACGGACTAGTATTTCGTCATTTTGTTAAAAAAAAAAGAACTTTTATATGACTTCGCTCTTATTTACATCGAAATTTGAAACCTCTTATTGTTTCTTAAGAAATGAACGTAAGGACAAGACAGTGCTCCTTCAAAATGAAGAATTTATACTTGTTCGCACTCTATATTCTTCAATATCTCGTTAATTCAGTAAAATTCCGTGAAAATAAACACTGAAAATTCCTAGACTCAAAGGAAGTATGTTAAGTAGCTTGAGGCTTGCACATTGTCTTTCAAGCTAAAGAGTAGAAAGTGATTTGAAGTTTGTGTTGTCTCTGTTTTCATCGACCTTTTGTCTAAATGGGTATAGCCTTATATTTGAACGCAGGTTTGAGAAGTTAGATCATAAGTATACTATGAACGATTGAAAAGACTGTCCTTAAAAATAATATTTCCAATTGTTGGTGTAATTGTTTTATATAAGTCGGATGATTCATTCCCGAAGCTCTCATTCTCCTTCCGGACAACATCTCCACGACGGACAAAAACTCACTGTCATAAGACACTTATGTGAGTTCAGCTTTTTTTCTGAATTCTTCGTGATGGGTGTAACTGCCTCTCTCGATGATTTTGGTTGTGGTCGGTTTAACTTGTTTATTAATTCGACGTGTCGATATGTCTATTGATTGTAGCTTCATCTAAGTACTAAGCTTCCAGAAATTCACTGGTATTCTTAGTGTTTCCTTTGTCTAGGATTTGTATATCTTTCAAGTCGCAGTTTTCAGCATGCACTGATATCATGTGTTTTGACAGCTTGTTTCTGTTTGTAGACGGAAAGACGTAGAGGATGTCCACTCTGACCAGTACATTTTTCCTCACATTTGCTAAATTTTGATTTGTAGATAATATTAACTTCTCATCTTTAATTTTTGGGTCATTTGGTCTACATGGAACGAGGTTACCTGGGTTCCAGTGGGAAGCCATGACCAGTAGGGTGCAGCGGGTCAAAAGTGTGAGGACAAATACTCGCCGAAGACATTGGCTAGCGGTTGCGCTATATCGTGAATTGGCAGAAGTTAGAATTCATGGACTGGCCACTGGATCGAGTCCCAGTGGCTTAATGGTATACGAGCTCGCTTTGTAACCAGAAGGTCCTGCGTTCAAATTCCGGTGGGTGCGTACTGATGGAGAGTCCCAAAACTAAGACAAAACAGCTGTCCAGTACTCCCAGTTGGTTTTCCATTGGTTCTCTAACCAATGTCAATTCATGATGAAATCCCCAAAATGATTGTGTTGGTTTTTAGGCAATGTCTTCATAAATAAACAACCTATTATCCATAAACTCATCTTCGGATGTTGTACAATTGAATTTGTATTTAATAAAGACGTATAGTAATCTGTTATTAAGTAAAACTGCATAATATAATTGAGACATATACCAAGGAGTAATTTCTAGAGATACGAGTTGAGTAATAGTTAAAATTGTTATATGATGAGATGTCAGGTATTTGAGTATTCATTTGAAAAGAACGAATAGAGTGAGTGAAAAACTGAGCAAAATGTACGATTTGAATATTTAGTGATAAAAGACAAAAGCAAACGATTACGAAAGAGATCAAGACCATGGTAGAACAATAGACTGAATCAATCTTTTCAGAGCCAACGTTCCAGGTTGTACTGATGAATCTCTGGCGTCTCCACCATTCACAAATACCGAAACCATACACCCAATGTACCATTCTGTTCTATTCTTCATGACTCATTGGTTATTATTGGCCTTCTGAAATTATCTGTTTCAGAGGACACAACTTACGTCAATATCATCTACAGGAGCTACTAATCTTCTCCATCATTTTTAAAGGTAATCTGCAGAGTTACTGATTACTGATTGCTAAGATGGCCTAGTTCACTGAATATATATATCAGTGCAAATAATAATAAGCATGTGAAAGGAAATGTGGTTACTACATCGTGTGATTTAGACGACCGGATACCAAGTCGTATGAGAAATCTCGATATAAACCAGAGTGTGAAGGATAAGATTAGGGTTTCACTGCTTCACACATAAAAATCCATGCTTACTGTTTCCCTGTTCAAATAAATTGAATAAAGGAATAGTGAGTTAAACATTTATATTCAACATTTAAATGGATGTAAACACTTACAATAGTCTTTATTTCTTCTATAGTATCAGGAATGTTTTCAAGTTGTTCTTGTTGTCGTTCCACTAATTCCACAAACTTCAGAAGTTTTTCTTCACTACCTTCAATAACCTTCAATAGAGGTATTTTTTTGAAAAGTAAGGGAAATACGGGTTGAGTTCATTAATCAATATTTCGTTTTACACAGATGTGAATGTTTGCATGAAGGGCATAAATTATAACAATTAATAATAATTGTAGTAATAATATTTATAATAATAAGCAAAGGAAAACAGCAAAAAAAGGCAACAGGGTTAAGGGCAAAGAGCACTCTTGGTGAGAAGAAGAATCATCAATCGAAGTTTGGCCACGGTAGGAAAAGCGTCTGGACGTGTTCTTTTTGGATACAAGGTTCCGGTTTAGTCGATCTTATTGCAACAGAACAGCTTCAGCTTCAGTGTGTAGGAGACGTAAGCGAACTGCACGTGATAACGACTTCGGAATTCGGTATATAACCCTGAAAGCTGTGTTGACGTCGATACGATGTCCGGAATCGACCACGTTTGAAAGCATCGAGCTTTTTATGCACTTAATTTCCCCCCTGCTGAACCAAGCTGGTAAATGTTTTCGAACTCGTAGACGAACCTGCCTAATCGTGAGCCCTATATAACTTGAACCACAGAACAGTTGAAATGGTATATGCATGAAGAAGAACACGTCCAGACAATGTTCCTACCGTGGCCAAACTTCGATTGATGATTCTTCTTCTCACCATGAGTGCTCCTTCCCCTTAAACCTGCTGGCTATTTTTGTTTTTTTTTGCTTTGCTTATTATTATAAATATAATTACAATTATTATTATTCGTCATAATTCATGCTCTGTATGCAAACATTGCCTCAATACTACCGAATTTTCCATTTATACTATCCGAACTTATTAGTAGTGATATTATCCCTTTTATCAATATATGCCTGCACCTGTTTCATTTCACGTATTCATTATTTCACTATGAACCTCTCATTGCAGTCTTACTATCTCCTGTTTAGTACGTACAACTTTGTATAGGCTACTCACCTGACAGCTTTTATAAACTTGAACTAACTTGTCAATTTTGCTACCCTACACTCTACAAACCTATTATGATTAATCACCACCATTATCTCCCGTTTTACAATATTTTGTAATTGATTGCAGCCTAGCATGTTTGTCACACAAATACGACTATTTATTTTGACACCCCATAACTAATCTATTATTCTACGTTAAAGGGAATGTATCCACCGCATAACTGGCCTTTATTGTAATGACAACAAATATTATATATTATAACTGTAAGAATCTGAAGAGAAATTATTGAAAAGAATATTCATTTGTTTAGCCATCCAATTTTCTACTAAACGAACTCTCTTGATATCAGAATGGATCGTCTGTAGCTTCAAAATATTTAATAAAAACTTAAGTAGAATTAAGTTCATTTCATGATCAGCACTTTTTAGACTGTGTATAACTTCAATAAGCTTCACTTGGTTCCAGTGGAATTCAAGAAATACACGTAAACATAATAAGGTACGTGTAAGCATAGAAAAGAGATTGTTTTCAATAGATGACAAATTCCATAAATATTACTGGCTAAGATATAGCCAATCTCAAATCAAACTTGCTTCACTTTCGTTTCACCATACTTGTATAGGCGGAAAAGAAGCGGTCACTTATGAATTAAATTTCTTCATCTAGTTGATTTCGTATTACGGGAGTAGAGGGAAGCTGTATTCATATCAGATGTTACGTTTGACTGTTCTAAGGATGTCTTATCAACCTTTGTATACGGCTAGAATATCTGCTGTGACATTTGCTATATATACTATGCCCAAAACCACATCTTGGTAGCACTTATCCCCCACTCAACTGTTTCGTCAACACTTACTCGAATAAATATAATTTCACTAAAACTCTGTTTCAACAAGCTGACTACAAAATAATGACTAATTTTACTCTACAAACTCCTTTGGGATCTATAAATGAATTCAATGTTGCCACTTCACACCCATAATAAAAGAAACAGAAATCCATTTATTTGCTTTCATATTATCTAAGAGAAAAGAATACTCTTCCCTCATCGAATGTTAATTCATTTTCTGGGATGGAGTCTTCAAGTAGCTGAAATATAGACATGCATTATTATTATTTCATAACTGTCTACATAAAGATCGATGTTATTTATTTGAAATAAACATTGTATGAAATAATAAATAACTAAGTAACTGTTTAGGCAGTGAAGGACGTGATTTCTAATTCTCAAAGGAAATATTTCAATCTATGGCACATAAAGATAATAAAATAAATAGGTGAATGATGTAACTGTGAGCAATATGTATCTAGAGCACAACTGAAAGCTGATCTAACCGTCAATCACAACATCAGTCAAAACGAAATCACTACCATTTGCAAGCCTAAGCAAAACAGAGGACGGACTATTGAACAGACAGATTTCAATGTTTGAATCAATTGTCAAAGGAGTTGATACCTATGCTAAATAAATATTTTATAAATGATCCTGACAGCCGCCTAATTCATTGATAAGATTAGAGTGTTAAAAATCAGTGAGACACTTGGCTTCACATTGAGTTGACGACACAAAAGTTATCATGAGTGTGCGAAAAACAGTAAAATAAAAGTTATAAGCTAACGTCAGGCAAATTTTAGGTGGAATTAGGGGTTTATAATAGAGAAAGTGCCTCACCATAAGTGACAATCTTTCTTTCGTGTATATGCAATGTGAATGAATTCGAGTTTTGTTCAACACAAAGACTTCACATTCGTCAAAATGCACTGAAACCCCTCTTCAAATCTTTTTCACTCTTTTCATGCCATGTGGAACATAAAGCTTACAGTTGTGAGTAGCGGTGGTAGAATTTAGTCTGTACTAAACAAAGGATTGAATGAATTACATTGGTCACCGACCGGTCTTGGACTAAAATATCCAATACAGTCCTACAGGAGGTCAATCACGATCCCGAATAGCTCAGTGGTCACGTCTCTGACTGCAGCTCTCACTAGGAGACGTGGGTTCGAATCTCAGAAGCGACATGAGTTTCTTGGGTGTTGCAGATACACCTTGCTGACTGGTGAGTGCCAACTAGCACGAAACCTAGGTCCAACGCTTTCCGTGGCCGATTGCCTCCAACCATCTAATACCAACAATTCACAGTGCACCGTAATGGCGAGCCCCCTAGAATGGTGCCCTCATCCCGAGACGGATATCCGCTATTATTTGTATTTAGATTAATTGGCATTTCCCATTCATTGTTTATTTTGGACTGAGTTTCTGAGGAATCAGCACCACTGGGAATCCAGGCACATGCAGCTGACGAAACCCGAATAGGACGAAGTCCACATCATGAACTCCACTGCTACTCACCATCAACTATAGCAATATCACACTAATCATCAGACATATTCAGGGGTGTGAGTACTAAGAGCCGATATGTCAGTACAGAGAGAACAATTTGTCCCAAAAATAATCAATAAACAGGAAGTGCAAATTGGTCTGAAAACGAATATCGATTTGATTTGTGTCATAATCTTTAGCAAGTGGATAGTAATGCTGTTTCCTATCTGCCAACCATAACCGAAATATACAAAAGAAAAAATTAATGTTGAAGAAAAGTAATTCATAGGAACTGTAGTCGAGATTTGACAGAATAGTTCCAAAATAATTGGGCGCTGAACTAAAAGTACTTCAGAATACACCAGTACTTACCCCTTGAACCATCTCCTGTGCTATGTCATGCAATATCGGTTTCACTTCTTCTAAGCTGATAATTTCATCTCGAACATTTTCAGCAAGTGACTGAATTCTTTTTATTGGTTCTGAATGATAGCTACCATCAATCTGATCTTCAGATTTGCGTATTTCTGACGCTCCAGAGGAAAATGTCTTTTGTTTACCTGATAACAAAAAATTGTTATCTCAGACAGTAATATAATGAACAATTAAACTATATCTTTCCTAAAAAGCGAAGAGTTTGAACATAGAAAGATAAGACTTACTAAAGAATCTTCATGCATTTATTCCCTTTGATAAATTTGAATAAAGCGAGAACAACAGTGGTTTGTGCAGAATAATATCTTTATGTCAAACCTTGAGAAAACAAAGCTGAAGCATGCAATTAATCAAACAACTTCCTATTGTCGATATTTCGATGACACATTTGTAGTATGCAACAACGAAAGTCATGCCTCCTACCTACTCAGACTATTCAACAACGCACATACAAATATTGTATTTATTATGGAACATGGAAATGATGGACAGTTCCATTTCCTTGACGTCGCCATGAAACGCCTAGAAGCTGGTAGTCTCCTGAGGTCAATCTACCGAAAGCCCACATGGAATGGATAATACTTACATTTTAATAGTTTTTGTCCAAATAACTATAAACGGGCACTAGTCAAGATTCTGTACTATAGAGCGAGGAGAGTAGACTGCAAAGAAACTAGAGGAAGAATTTACGAATCTCGAAAAGGTGCTGAAACCCCAAAGGCTATCCTCAAAGATTCATTAATAAATATGGAAGATGTGAAGACTCAAATACCAAACAAATCACAGTTGAAAAAAGCCTGTCTTCACTCATCTAGATTTTAAAGGTGAAGACACTGCAGAAATGGTCAACAGAAGACTGAGGACGTCACTAGCCAGAGCCTATCCTGCAGCTAACTTGGCTCCCGTCCATCGAAAAATATGCTCTTTGGTGCTGTCGATAAATACCCTTCTCATGTTAACTCCAACTGTGTATACAAATTTACGTGTATGTGCGGGAGCAGTTACATTGGGAGAACAGAAAGAAGAGCACACCTCCGATTTTCTGAACATGTGCCGAAAAGCCTACATCTCAAGGGAACAAACTCTTATAGTAGCGCTATTACCAGACACCTCCTCGACACGGGTCATGAGGTGGAAATCGGGAAATCCTTCAAAATTATCAATAGACAAATGAGCTCCATTCTCCTCAAGTTTGCCGAAGCTTGAAACCAGATTTATGTGTTCAGAAAGAAGCAGTTATTAGACTTTCCTTGCCTTGGTAAATGGATGTCTTTTTTTCTCTCATCTGATTACGTATTCTTGGTCTTTAACCTCACCCCCCTTTTATAATCTGTAATCATGCTTGTCTCTTGTTTCTACGATTTGAGTTCAACTCAGTACATGTGTTACCTATGCATCACTATGCATCTAACGCACATCTCATCTTTATTATGCAACTCCCTTAACATTATATGCACACATTTATTTTGTTTAAACTTGAACTGCCTGTGTAAAAACTACATAAGCGCAATTTTCTGAGCACTGTTTAGTAATTGTGGAACTTTCTGTCAACTGACAATATGTAAAATTTGCAAGTATGTTGAAACGTTTCTGTACTTAAACCTCAACATTTATTTAGGCTGTAAGCAAGCAGCTGATGAGAAGCCAACGAAATAAATGATGGTACCATATTATTCTGCGCAAACCGTTGTTGTTCCCGCTTTATTCAAACTCACTAAAGGCTCACAACTTTTGAGAATATACAGCATATGCTAATTACTGAAACCTGTGACTTCACACTGTTTCATTTAGCCGAAAGCATCCTCCACGATGGAAAAAAACTGAATGCTCATCAACGGTACTTAGTAAGAGTGCCGTTGTAGCCTTAATCGACATAAGGTATCATTCTCGAGTCACTGGATTTCAACCCAATGACTTGTCTGGTAATGCAACTCCCAGAAAATCCCCAGATCGATATCAGGTATTGTGCGTGTGCTTGACTAAAGAGTCCCAAATTAAAAAGAAACAAGTATGAAGTACTCACTTTTTGGAAGCTAATTAATCTGTTTAAAATAATACAAATGTTATAAAGCCTCTAGAAGTCTTCTTTAACACTGCCCTTAAATTGAACTAATTACATTCTATATAGGCAAATTATGCCTGTTATGACTTTTTTGGGATTTTATATGTAGACAAATTCTTCTGATGATAGACATTTAAACAAAGACTTCCAACAACTCACAATATCACGTAAAGAACCAGCTTAGGCCAAAGATGTATCAGTAATTGTGACTGAGAAATTAAGAAAGTTTATTGTAACACAAAAATTTCTTTCAAACCACGGGCTTTAAACCATGTAAATAGCTAAATATTATTATACTACTTAATATTATTATTAAGTAACTAGAATTGAAATCAAACATTTTACCGGTGTGACTAACATGTGAGGTCTTTGCCTGTTAATTTGAAATTAGGTTATGAATTTTCCAGCTACCTAAGCTAGAAGAATGTAAGTATTCGTCCTCATACGTTTCCCTCAAAAATTTCAAATCTTCTTAACAACCTTAACTTAACAATGAACTTTGTCCAAATTAATGGTTTCTCATATATGTCCAAACCAAGTTCACTCTTAACAGTTTGAAAACATTTGGGCATTGGGTATATGATATTCATTATAATAGAGGTTTTTGTATTTCCCAATGAATGAAAAACAAAACGAGATTGTTTTTACTGACGTTTCGCTGTTTAATGCTAATAGCTTTCTCAAAGTATTTCACAATCTACACTTAGTTTGGTTACCTTTACCTATTCTCCAACTTGACAACCAAAAATGACCCCAGACTAACGAACGATGATCAAGTTAGTAAACTTTATTTTGATATAGTAACAGATATACTATTACCTTCGATATTTGCTTTGAACGACCTTCATTGTTATTTTGACTTTAAAAATGTCCTTTTAAGTTGAACTAACTCTATATTTTTCTCACCCCCTAACTCTTTGTTATATATATGCTGAGATTTTGTAAATTCCGTTTTAATAATACTTTGATAAAGCTATTAGCATTAAATAGCGAAACGTCAGTAAAAAGAATATCGTTTTGTTTTTCATTCATTGGGAAATACAAAAACCTCTATTATAATAGTTTCTTATCCTGAGAAACGTGTTCATATGGAATTCTCAGAATAATCTATTGTAAAAGTATTTACTTCTCGCGTCGACTCTTCAGGTATTTCACTGGTCAGTAGTAATACGTTGTTTAAAACAAAATTATTATGTTCATGGCAGCCTCTAATATCCTGAAATATTTATTCTCCACTCCCCTTGCAAAATCCATAGCAGCAAGTTGCTGTCTATTGGAAAATAGGCGTTAGTACAGATTCCTAGTCGAAGATGTAACCGGATAATTAAAATATCATGACACAGAGTGAATAAATTGCATGCTGATGAATCAAAAGCAGGTATCTCAGTGATATAAGCTGATCACTAGCCATAATAATAGTAATAATCCACTTTCATCAAGAAATGACAAAAAGACAGTAAAAAATAAAATCAAAACGGACACAAATCATCAACTTAAAGATATTTTAAACTAGCAACAAAGGTTAGTAAATTAGGATTTATATAGAATGGGTGTTTTTTCAATAATTTCCCCTCAGGTTTTTTTTGAATTATGTAATATACAATTTATTGGCGTTACAATAATTATCAGTCATGAAGTGGATACGTTTTTATACAGAATAACAGATCAGTAGTCATAGGGTGCCAAAATAAATAGTATTTGTGTGACAAACGTGCTAGGATGAATTCAATTACAAAATATTGTGAAATGATAGTCAATGATAGCGATTAGTCATAATTAACTCATACAATTCGCGTTAGGAAAAACTGACAAGTAACTTTGGGATTATAAAAGGTGTCAGGTGGGTGACAAGTATAAATTAGTATGTATTAAAGAGGAGATAGTAAGATTGCTATGAGCATTCCATAATGAAATAACCAATATTTCTAATGAAACAGGTGGAGGCATATATTAAGAAAAGAGATAATATAACTAATATTAAATCCGGACAGTATAAATGAAAAATTCAATAGTGTTAAAAGGATGCTTGAATGAAGGGTGTAAATATATAACGAATAATAGGAATGTTTGTAATGATAAGCATAGCAAGCAAAAAGAAAAACCCAAAATAGATATGGAAAAAAGAGGCACTCTTGGCTGGAAGAAAAAACTGTAAACCAAGTTTGGCCACGGTAGGAACAGCATCTGATAAAAAGTCCCGATTTAATCGATCTTATTGCAATGACAATAAATAATATTCATCATCGTATTTCCGAACATCAACCGGCATGGTTAAGCAAGGGACAAACAAAATCTATTCGTAGCTCTATTTTAGCCCACCTTGTAGATAGTGAGCATAAGGTTGATGTTAATACTGCATTTAAAATTATTTATCGCATTCCTACCAATCTTAATTTTGCTTTACGAGTTCGTCTTCTACATACAGCTGAAGCAATAGGAATCCACCTGAAGAAACCAAACTTGTGTGTCCAGAAGAAATTTGTACAGCCACTTTCCTTACCTTGGCCATCGTTACATGACTGTATAAACCGGACTACTCCATCACCCCCCCCCTAGAATAATTTTTCTTTTTTTAAAAAACTATAATTGTCCAAATTATTTGATATTTTTCTGACTACTTCATCTTTAATTACGTGTTATCCTTGTAAAAATTATTTTATTCTTATGACCACTTCAACTTTAGTTACAAATTATCATTGTCCAAATTGTTTTATTTTCTTTAACAATCTGTTATGTAATCAACCTGTGCACACGCTTATTCCTTAATTGCTCTTCATTTTTCCAAAATTATGCATTATCCAATCCACTTGTTGTAACCATTTTCACCTTTTAATTATATATATTAATTTTTCTTCGTTAACTATCACCCCATTGACATTTTGACACCGACTAATTATTGTCAACAAACATATCGCCACTTGATTGGTAAATTGTTGTGTATTGTAATTAAAATGCTATATATATTAGAGTAGAGCCAGAGATGAGGATCTAATTGAAAAGTAAATATTTCTTCGCTCACTCTTTCTCTTTTCTAAATGTCTAAATGGGGATATTTTCTATAAT